TCCGGCACCCTGAGGTACCGCGGCCCGTCTTTTCGTCTGCACCCTGCCCCCATCACTCCGCCTTGACGTTCACCGTCCGCACACCCAACGGATTGCCTGCCCGTGCATTACTGGCTGATCGGAGAGCACTTTCTGCGCAGGGTAGCCGGCGGCACCAGCTCGCGCTTTTCCTAGTGCGGCACTCATGCACCCCTCACGCGCACCGATCGGCACTCCTCGCGCACCGATAGACAGTAGACACTCCTCGCGCATGGTATGTGCGCGTAAATCGCACGGTTTTCATGTAGTGCACTGAACTTGTGGGCACACGTTTGGCAAGATGCAGACTGTGGCACAGATGATATATAAAGCTTTGCAGTGGTCTGTTGTACTCACGTGCGCCGTCTTTTTTTAGGAATACAAGAACAGTAGGCAAAGTCGTTTTCCAGCTGAAAATAGTCACTGACATTGTAGACAAATACAAAAACAAACGTCAGCGAAGCATTGTAAAATAAAAAAACAATATTGGTTATTTTTTGTCTCTTCGATTTCCATTTTCCTTTTTCCCTTTTGCATAACCCAGAAATTATTTTGTTGCAGGTATCTTTCTTATTTGTTGTATTGCTTGTCAACATCAAAGAAATGCAAGGCTTATGAGAGATATACATAACACACGACTAACAGTGTCATATCTCTTTCAATCAAGGCAATGGCAGACAGCGCAAAATATTATGACATGGAGCGAAACGTAGTCGAAGATCAGGCATTGCGTTAGTATCCTGTCAGAAAAGCGTTGCAGCTTACACGCTTTTGTAAAAGCTGAACGCTCGTAGCCAGTGACAATGAATCAAGACAACGAATCTAAATGAACATCTCACGTTTCTCAGCATTGCATTAAATCTTTATTTACATTGAACAAAAGAGACCCAAACCAGAACTGAAGCTACACTGACATTAAGAAAGATGGACTGCCACTTTAACGAAGTTAGATGCGATGCGCAGTAAAATTGTTGTTCTTTCCTGTCTGCGAGCTTGAGGGTTTTAGAATGTGATATGTATAATATAATTGTCATCCGTTACTCGTGAAACTTATCTAGTTATCGCTAAAAGATCTTACGACAGCTTGTTATCATGTGTATCATAAGAATATAAGATAACTACGCATTTCTACCATGAGCTATGCGCACACCATCCGACGTGTGCTTTGGAGCGCTTCATGTCAATGTTTATTGTCAATGACCTCATTTCGGGGTCATTGACTGATTTAAAGGCGGCCGTATCTGACACTGATGGTCTCTGGCGTCTCTGGGATCACAATTCTGAGGGCAACAGCTGAACTCTTCCGACTTTTAGTGAAGACCATTCGATGGCGAAACTGGCAACCGCACTCCGTTCTGCCGTTTACCCAACCGCTCCGCCACTCGCTATTGCAGTTCTCGCGAGCCGTAACACTAATCATTTTTATTTGTGTGTGATTTGTGCTAAAATGTGCTGCATGAATGATCTGATGGTGAAATCGAGTCTGATGGGATTGCATCCTGGCTTCGGTATAAGGTTATGTTATTTAAACTGTGCTAATCATTTAACCCGCGACCTGGTGGGGGGGGGGGCTATTTTTTGCCCCCCCCCCCTCCAGACTTTTCGATATATCTCCAGAACCGCTGCGCCGATCGTCACCAAACTTTCAGTACCCTCCCGGACATCAATTTTACACATTGTGACCAAAAATGTTTCCAAAGGCTATGATAGGTTGGCCGGAAATGACGTCAGAGTGACGTCATGTTCTGCCGTTTTCGACCCAAAAAAGGGTTTCGCGGGAAGAGCTGTCAGGCCTATAGCTTTGCAAATACAGAAAAAATGATAAGACATAAAAGCTGTAAAATCAACAGGGCTACAAAACTGCTATCTCGGATTTTTGAAATTTTTGGATTTTGACCCCTGAAAATTAAAAAAAAAAAACAATTGATATAATAAACGAAAAATCCAAAAAAAATTGAATTTCGCAAAAACCGGAATATATGTGATAGTCCTTACCGCCTTCCATCCACATACCAAATTTGAGATTGATACCTCTTTTTTGGCGAAGTTATAGCGAAAAAACTGTTCAAAATTGATGACGTCAAATTTTCAAACTCAATTTTTAGCAATTCTACACCCCGTATCGCAAAACAAAGACCACCATTAGACTCCCCGTGACGAGCTGCATCGAATCAATAACCATTTTATGCAAAACTATCAACTTTAAAATTTGACCTCTTTTGGCCTGACCTTGACCTGACCTTGACCTGAACTTTACCAGAAAGTGACCTAAGCCGTACCTGATAGTCTTATAACCAACACCATTGAGTTGGAAACGAAAAATTGGCCATAAAACATGCATCACACAACCTTAGTAAAGTTGGGCTCATTTGACCTGACCTGTGACCCTTGGTGACCTGACCTGTGACCTGACCTGGTATTGTCAGTGACCTCTAACAGCAACATATCTACTAGGCAACTGACGCCCTGTCGCTGATTCTCGACAAAATGCGTTTTCCTCGGTGTTAATGCGCATTCCCTAGAAGACCCGTGAACGGTGAAACATTTCATCTTTGACCTGACCTGTGACGTCATCGGTGACCCCGAGGTCAATGAAATTTGGTTTCCTTCGACAAATTTGACAGGCCTTTCGAACGCCGTTTGAATTTTGCGGATCCGTCCAGTAGTTTCGGAGATACGAGGGGGGGGGCAAAAAATAGCCCCCCCCACCAGGTCGCGTTATAAACAGACCCCACCAGGGCGCGGGCTAAACATCTTATAGTAAATTCTACATTTTATGTCAGCTTGAATCGAATTTCCACTAGAGTTTTAAAAGAGTTTTGAAAGTGAATTAAACAGGGGTCGTCAATGTCCACTAAAACCTTCGCCAAATACCTGCGGGCCTACCTGCCAAATACCCTCGCCGGCACAGGGTTGATGCAACCCCCCCCCCCCCCGAAGGTTCTTCGCGAATAACTCGCGTAAAAAGCGGCCGATCGCGACGAAACTTTCAGTACCCTCGCATTGATCAATTTTACACCTACCCTTAAAATTTCATGACCCTGACCCAAATGAACTTTGACCTGTGACCTCTTTTCCGAGACCATGTTTGGCCGGAATCGCTATTCGGCGTATGTCGGCTCGCATTAGCCGCGCGTTTGCAAGCTTTTCGTGGTTTCAAAGGTTCAAACATGTGATTTGATGCTGCTCCCATACATGAAGGTGGGTGTTAAGGTCACCTGAAGGTCAGGTCAGGTCATTGACCTTTGGTGACCTCGGGTGACCTCGGTTTAATTTTTCGAGTTTTACATGTTTCTAGGCTTGATTTTGGAGCTGAATTCGAATTTAGCAACCATTTGAACATTTACAAAGTAGTTTTGGCGCCTTCGTAATATGTTACGAAGCTGTCAGAGGCGGCTGACACGTATTACGAATACCCGTCACAACCCCTACCGGTTGACCTGACCTGACCTGACCTGACCCGACCTGGTCTAAATGCTTAAAGACATCATCTCTGATCAAAACTAACATGATATTCGTGTTTAGCACCCCGGTAAACCACATAGCAGCCACACTTTACGACTTTCTAACAGGTCCCGATTTTCCCGATTTTCGGGTCATTGGCCTGATCTGGAAGGTCACCCGATGACCTAGGACCTTAAAATTGGGCACCATCGGCTTCCTCTCGTGACGGGCAACACGCTCGTATTTTTCCCAAAGCTCTAGCTTGATCAGGGGCCAAACGCGAGGGAGGTCGTGCCAACTTGTGCCGTCGAAGGACGCAAAATGGCCTGTGCCGGCGAGGGTTAATGACATGGCTGACTGGCTGCGAAGGCTTCAATGGCTGTGGCTGAATGGCTGAGAGTAGAGCATTCAAGCTTGAAGTTCGCGTGTCTTACCGCCATGGCTGAGGTTTTTTTTTGTCTGAACTTAGCGCAACTGGTTTCATTTCCAGAGCTTGGATGATGAATTGCCGATTTCCGTTGTTTGTATTTAACTTCTGTATTTAGTCGGATCTCTGAAGGATCGGTCTGTTCCTGAAAGCGGAATTCGCTTGCAATCTGTCCTCCGAATTCACCTTTTTAGTCCTTTTCTCTCCCGATAAATTTAATTTTGCTTTTAAATTTTATTGCATGACGTTTCTATCATAAGTGTTAAGACAGTCTTGAGACGTGTTTTGCTCTAGATCCTTGAATCTATTCGCATTTGATTTGAATTTAGATGAGTTCAATACTTGTTCGTAACACGGCGGGTCAGGGACTCCGACTTATCAGGGAGTCAGCCGGCGGTCGCTCCACCAATCAGGACGCCGCTTATTCTGACCAATCAGAGCCGGTCCCGGGTGGCCGACCTCTGGCCGGGGCGTGCAGCTGAATCGTCATGTCAATGTTTGTTGTTAATTTATATGACATTGTGTGTTGTTTGCTCTTGAGTTTTGTGGTGACGTCTGCATTCTGAAATAAGCAATTAAAGAGCGCTGGCGGCTACAGGGGTTGGTAAATGAGGGCTATGTCTCCTAAAAGGCTGCTGGCTGGAAGAAATTTTAAAGCTACACCAAAGCAGTAGGTCAAGGTAAGTACAGGCGTGAACTGAACGAGGGAGCTTGAGCTATCCACTATCAGCCTGGTTAGACGTTCCCCGTTTCGACCCCGGTTGACTCCACTCGTAAGGCGGTGTGTTTAGTTTTTGTTGTATTGTTTTTACTTCTATATACCTACTTATCCTCGGAATAACATGTGAATTATATATGATTTAATTATATTGCAAGGCTTTTCTGTTTTTATGTTGACGAAGTGCGAGGCTATATGGAAATGGTGAGATGCCAGCGCAGAATGACGAAAAACCTGAAACCCAACAAAACCCCTGTCTCACGTGACCTCCCGACCCACCGACTTCCAGATGCCCTCTGTGATTGCCAGCGGACCCCAGTGACAGCTGACTGACCTGCGCCATCCTGATGACCTCTGTGACCTCCGTCTGACCCCGGTGACCTGTGCCGGCAGGTAGTGGACGTGAAGCCGGCGTCCGGCGCTCCGTTGGCCCGCCACCAGTGGCAGGTGGCACGGGCCATCTCTGAACAGACCGGAGGTTACCCGTACCGGCCGCTGAGGAACCGGAAGCGCACCTCGGCGCCGGCGGCAGGCACCTCTCACCCGGCCCACCGAGTGGCCATCCAGTACCGGTGCCGACGCTCCTGGCCCGTGGCTCCAGCCGCCAGACGGAGGTCAGTCCCGGGTGGGCGGGGTCGGGGCCGGGGGCGGGAGGCACGCGGTGGGGCTACGGGTGGGGGAGGGTAGCAGGGGAGTACTCTGGAGAAGCAGCACATTGACATTGGCGGATGAAGGGAAGACGTCACTTACCTTAGGTTTATAAAAAAGGTAACTATTCCACTTGGCTGGACATAACAAGTTCAACGTGGCCAAAAGCTGCTTTACGACCATTTTTTTGCATGCAATCACCAGAAGCCTTACCCTTAAATTGAGGTCTCTAACCACACCCCCAAGGTCACCGGTTGACCCGAGACGTTCACAATGTATGCCGATCGCTGGGTCCGCAACAGTGCACACATTAGTTTCTCCAAGGAGCCTTTGTAGTTCAGTTAGTGTATGAGCTCTTCCCGCTCCCCTTCAGTCGAAGGTGCCGGTCCCGTAGCTCAGTTGGTAGAGCGTTGGACTCCGCGTGGTGAAAGCACGCGTTCCCGGTTATAACAGTCCGGGTTCGAAGCGCGACGGGCGCTTGACATTTATGGGCCTCCTGACAGGTATGGTTGCGGTTGGTGGCAGGCCGTAGCCAGGCGAAGTCAGTGAGGGGACCGGCCGTGCGCGGCTATGTGCGCACGTTAAACTTTGGCCTCTAAATTCTGCCATAGAACCGGAATTGCGCGATCGGAGGGTAGAGGGCAGGGTCACCGCAACAAGCTTCGCTTAGCCGTGGCCCTGTCCTTGTGAATCCTTCCCATCAAAAGGTTCGGATTAAATTTATAAAAAAAAAAGGTGGGGAGGTATGATTATAACCAATATGGTCTGACGGGCAAGGGTTTATCACGCGTGCTAGTGATAGAAACTGGTATGAGTTGTATAAATTAGGCTTTACATTTAACCTGAACCATGCAAACGTGAAACGCATAATAGATGCCTACCAATATCAGATGCCGGCTTAGCTGCAAATAATGCTCTATTTACTATTTAGTGTGTGTGCTCAACAGCACACATGATTGAGGATGGGATATTAAATCGGAGAGGTTAAGACCAAGCATGGACAGAGTTATGAATCTGAGCTTCTGTGAAGTGATTCATTGCGATTGTGTGTTACTCCAGTCTCCAGCAGCCCTCGACAGAATCGGTGGATGCAGAGTTGCATCACTAGCGCCACCTCTAGCTATTCGAGCAGACTCCAACGACACCTAGGCTCACCCAAGGCACCGACCAATGCTCCAAGGCATTGGTCGATGGATTGGGAAAAATCGAGAGGATGATCAAAAGTGGATCATCCTGCGATTGTAAATCGACGTAATTTATTAGCCTTCTAACATTGTATACTTATTTCTTCTGATGTATTCAAAGCTTTACGCTGAAACGTAAAGTTGACTGAGACTCAGATTGTAAAGGGCGGTTTTAGTCAAACCAACACGGTTTTTTGGTGTGTTGGTATTACGAGTGAATGGTGATACGTGACAAATGACAGTTATGCAGTTTGATGAATAAATGTGAAAATTGTTGCCGAATTTTTAATTGTTATTCGATCCTCAGGGAGCTAATGTTAGAATCAAGTTTTTTTGTAAAGTGCCTTTGATGATTCACTTGACGATTTGGAAGAAAACATGGCTTGATGTTGATGCTTGGAATTGTTGTTGACTCCGAAGAAAAAAAGCGAAACATCAAACGTATACCTACGTATTCTGCATGTGTAGCATTTGAAATGGTTATAATAGTTTATAATATCGTCCAAAAATAACGAAATGAAATATTCTTATTTGTCCTGACTTTAACCTTTATCGGGTACCTAAACACTACATACCCATATACTCGAAATAGTTATTTAACCGTTAACACCTTACGTGTTTATAAACATTTCACTCATCGTGGTGCACATTGCGTAGAAATACTAATAAGTTGACACATCATGCCACGTCTGCCGAGCAATAAGATGCTTCTCATTTTTGTTATAAGTAGGGTTATGTGAGGTAAGACGCCCCTGATTTTCTTATTAATGTTTTTCTTCTGTAATATACTACTATGTGAAGTTACTTTTTTATTTATGGAGACGTCTGTCGTCTTGCCGTGCGACTAGATCGATATAAATCGATTACATTAGATATAATTGGAATTAGGTTTTCTGCTCCGGTGAAAATTCAGCCTGTGGTCCTTGTGCCCGCAATTTATAACGCTTTTGTATTTGTATTTATTTACTCACGGGTTCCATTATATGGCTTTTCAGACTTGAGACCGTGATTGAGAACGTTTAATGTCAAATTGCACACACACAACATTTTTAATTTCCCCACCTTCAAGCACACGCACTTTCCTAGCCCATGCGGGGTGTGTTGCTCGTGATTTGACCATGCCAGTTTAAAGTACACGCGACTTACATGAAATCCACATCAAAATGCAGGAAGGCACACTCAGGAAGCACATACAGCATCACACGGTAAAGCCTTTGGGTCAGTGGTCGGCACGTCAGATCACACAGGCCATAAAATCTCACTTAAAGAAGTTACAATGGGTCCTGATTTTCTCGACACTTGTCATCGACCTCTTGAAAGTCATTTAATGACCAAGGACCTAAAATTGGGTGGCAGCGGCTCCCTATCGTGAAAACGCTCGTTGTTTTCCGCAAAGCTCAGAGGCCAAGAGGCTTGGGGTCCGATCGACTCTGCACTCGCTTGCGTTCGCGGCTGTGAAAACACTAACAGACGGGCGACGATTAGGACATGGGAGCTGCTTTTGCTCGACTGTACAGAATGGTGAGCAGCGGCATGAAAATTGGCATGCGCCAGTCAATCAATTCATGCTGTGCGCGTTTGGCTTCGACTAATCGCTGAACCCTGGGACTAAGCAATCGTCATGTCTGTGCCATCAAAGGAGCCCTTAATTCTAAAAAATGAGGCTTTTTTCAGAGGCCCTCACTGTCCCCGCCAAGGGGCGCCATTACCTTCAAAGGGGACATGCCTCACCTTACTTTACATATGTACAGGAAGAAGTAACACGTTTCAGTTCATCATGCGTCTCATGAGCGTGAATGCTAAGCATGCATATTTGTAATAAGAAAAAAGTCACAAAGGGCTGTCACGAATGTCACGAGCTATTATCATAAATAGCTGCTCATCTTGCCACAGCACCACCTGAAGCACACCACCGTAGTATCACGGACACACTCTGTGACGTCTTTTCACTGCCACCCTGACTACGATCGCGACACCTAATAGCGCCGTCATCGCTCCTAGCCCGGCGGTCATCGCCGCAAACCCATACCGGTCAATGATGGCTCCACCCAACACAGGACCCACTGCGCACCCTAACGAAAAGATGACGTGGAACAGGCTCGAAACGAACGCCCTGGTGGCCACGCTGTCGTCGAGGCCAGTGGCCACGCTCGCGTCCAGCATCGTGCTGTAGCAGGGAGTGTAAGCGCCGCCAAAAAACAGCAGCTCGACGGTCATCCCCGCTCCAGTCATGAGCCAGTGTGGTGGAACGGGAAACGCTGGAGCGATGAAGAAGATCCCAATGCTAGAGGCTACCAGACAGCCAGCCATCTGAGGAAGCGGACTGGGTCTTGCCTCCAAGAGCCGAGCCCAGAGAGGGTTTACCAGCACGTACACTACGCAAGAGACGAGAAAGAAAAGACCAACCAGAGTCGGCGTTACGGCGAGCACCCGGTCAGCGTACACTGCAAACGCTGCCTCGACCGTGTAGACGTCGGCAGAGTAGACGAAAACCGTCGCCAGACACAGCCAGTTGTCGGCAGCGCCGAGAAACTTTAGCAACGACGCGACAAATGAAGCCTGCTGGCAGTCGGCGCTCTCGCTGTCGGGTATCAGGCGAATCAGGGCCACTGAGGTCAGCAGCATCAACGCTCCGAGTGTGAAGAAGGGGGTGCCGAAGCCGCCGACTGCGTACAGGCCGCCCCAGAGGGCCGGTGTCAGCGCGAGGCCAGCCGTCAGCGAGGAGCCGATCACGGCAACCGCCGTGGTCACCCGACTGCCGAACTCACTACCGGCGATGGTGTAGCCGCACGTGGCGATGGCCGCCGAGCCAACCGCTTCCACGAGCCTCACCGCGAACGCAGCGCCCATGAAGGTCTGGGTGTCTTCGATCCGGTTCAGCAGCCCAAACAACAGCGTCGTCGCGCCCGCCAGCGCCAGACCGATGTTGTAAAGCCGACTGATGCCAATCTTCGGAGCCAGCCGACCCACTAGCGGGCTCAGCATCATCTTTGCCACGGCGTAGCAGCTAAAAACGCCGCTGATGGCTGCTTGAGAAACGCCGCGAGAGGCCGCCTCCACCGGAAAGAACGGGATCATGATGGCGATCAGAGAGCCATCCATCACAGCGACCATGCTAATGCAAACCAGCAGCCTCCGCTGGTTGGGGGAGAAGCGGTCTTTGCGGGGTGGCTCTGGTTCTGGCCTCTTCTCTGGCCACTTGCCTTCCAATGTTGTGTCGTTGTGGATGTTCACTGACCGATAGTCGGGATGGTCACTTGGTTCTCTGACCGGGCCTCCGTTTTCGTTGAGCAGTCTATAGGTGTCTGACTCCTGTGTGTTACCCATGGCGACTCGCTGAGTGAACTGATTCCCAGTAATTTTTGGCGATCAGTTCACCAGTCAGGCACAGATGCGGGCGGTCACAATGTCCACACACAGCTGCAGTCGCTTTGGAGGTCAGCCACCTTTTGTGAGGAATGCCATTGTTCCCGAGATGGCAGTCTGATTAACCCGCGACCACCTGGGGGCTCCAATTCTCCCTGTTTTTTTTTATTTTTCTTTTATAGCTTGTGACATGTTTTAGGTTCATAGGTAAACATGACACACTGAATCGGAAAAATGCACCTGTGACCCCCCTGTGTGCCCCTTAGGTCATCTCAGGTCATGGACGGTCACCAGCAGTTTTTTGGCTACAACTTTTGATAAAGACGTGCTAGAGTGATGAAAACACGTCAGATGTATTCAGCTCGACAATACGGATCGACTGATATGCAACATGACCCATTCCGGTCTGCAGGTCTGCACCTTGACCTAGGGTCAAATTTTCAAAATGATCTTTCAAGGTCAACAAATACTTTATTCGATGCGTCTCGACGAGAGGAACACGATGCTGCCAAAAGTAATGTCGTGGCTCTTTTGAGTCAAAAGTTATTGACGAAAAACAATTTTCGTGAAAACTGCTATTTTTACAGTTTTTGCCCTCTGGAGGCTTAACCGTTGACCTGAGGTCAAATCTTAGAGCAACACTCAGAAAGGTCTGTAAAAGGGCTATCGAATGAGCTTTTCCGTGGCGCTGTAGCTCTATTGGTTCCCGAGTAAGCCGTTGGCAGTTTCCAAAATTGTTGAAATGGACTACATTTGACCTTTGATGACCTTTGGCGACCTGACCTTTGAGCTGACCCAAAAATTGACCGAAGTGTTTCCGTCATTATTTTTTATGTTCTTTCGAATGCCGCTTACCGTGTGTCGTTACGTGGCCCAGGATCCGAGTTATAGTGGGGGGGGGGGGGGGGGTGTTCAGACGATTCCATGACAAAATATCGAAACGCAAAATATCGAATCGCAAAATATCGAACGCAAATTATCGAAAACAAAATATCGAAGTCGCAAAATATCGAAACCTCAAAATATCGAAATCGAAATCGCAAAATATCGAGTCGCATAATATCGAAATAGCAAAATATCGAAATAGCAAAATATCGAATAGCAAAATATCGAAATAGCAAAATATCGAAAGCAGAATATCGAAAAGGCATAATATCGAATGCATAATATCGAAAAGACAAAATATCGACAGCAGAATATCGAAAAGACGAAATATCGAAAGCATAATATCGAAAGGACAAGGTATCGAATTCAGAATATCGAACAGACAAAATATCGATAAAGCGAAATATTTTCATTCAAAAAACGTTTTCATGAGGAGATTTCAAATGCTTCGTCTCGGGGTTAGATATGACCATTGATTCTCGAGATAACAGAAGGGGATTGGATCCGACCCCCTCCCGGCGAGCGTCGAGGATTAATGTTCAGCGGTAGGGAGAAAGGCCACAGAGGAAAGAATCAGATCAGTTTGCTGGAACTCGAGAGTGAAGAAGCGCGCGAGCCGCTAGTGGTGGTGGCGTTGTGGTTGCCAGGTCCCGTTATCGATTGCTACAGTCAGGGAGGAGTTTGTGAATAAAAAAGCTAAGCTATTCTACCGAAACAATAGAATTCCTCACAATACGGTGGCTGGCCAAGTGCACTGCTGACCACAGCTGTGCAGCTAAATTGGGTCCGGCCCCACCTGTCGCAGATAGCTAACCGCCAAAAACGCTTTCAATTTTATTCCATCAGTTCACCCAGTGGGTCGCCATGGTCAGCACGCAACAAATGGAGTCACAGGCACTGCTACACGAAAACGGAGGCCCGGTCAGAGAACCAAGTGACCATCCCGACTATCAGTCCGTGAGCATCCACAACGACACAACATTGGAAGGCAAGTGGCCAGAGAAGAGGCCAGAACCAGAGCCACCCCGCAAAGACCGCTTTTCCTCCAACCAGCGGAGGCTGCTGGTTTGCATTAGCATGGTCGCTGTGATGGATGGCTCTCTGATCGCCATCATGATCCCGTTCTTTCCGGTGGAGGCGGCCTCTCGCGGCGTTTCTCAAGCAGCCATCAGCGGCGTTTTCAGCTGCTACGCCGTGGCAAAGATGATGCTGAGCCCGCTAGTGGGTCGGCTGGCTCCGAAGATTGGCATCAGTCGGCTTTACAACATCGGTCTGGCGCTGGCGGGCGCGACTACGCTGTTGTTTGGGCTGCTGAACCGGATCGAAGACACCCAGACCTTCATGGGCGCTGCGTTCGCGGTGAGGCTCGTGGAAGCGGTTGGCTCGGCGGCCATCTCCACGTGCGGCTACACCATCGCCGGGAGCGAGTTCGGTAGCCGCGTGACCACGGCGGTTGCCGTGATCGGCTCCTCGCTTACGCTTGGAGTGGCGCTGACACCGGCCCTCTGGGGCGGCCTGTACGCAGTCGGCGGCTTCGGCACGCCCTTCTTCACACTCGGAGCGCTGATGCTGCTGACCTCAGCGGCCCTAATTCGCCTGATACCCGACATCGAGAGCACCCACTGCCAGCAGGCGCCGTTTGCCACGTCGTTGCTAAAGTTTCTCGGCGCGGTCGACAACTGGCTGTGTCTGGCTACTGTTTTCGTCTTTTCTGCTGTCATTAACACGGTCGAGGCAACGTTGGCGGTGTACGCTGACCGGGTGCTTGGTGTGCCGCCGACTCTGGTCGGTCTCTTCTTTCTCGTCTCGTCCACAATGTACGTATTGGTCAACTCATCTTGGGCGCGACTATCCGAGGCACGTCCCAGTCCGCTTCCTCAGATGGCCGTCTGTCTGGTAGCCTCTAGCATTGGGATCCTCTTCATTGCCCCAGCATTTCCCATTCCACCACACTGGCTAATCACGGGAGCAGGGATGGTCGTTGAGCTAATGTTCCTGGCTGGCGCCTTCACTCCCTGCTACAGCACGATGCTGGACGCGAGCGTGGCCAGTGGCCTCGACGACAGCCTGGCCACCAGGGCGTTTGTTTCGAGCCTGTTCCACGTCGTCTTTTCCCTAGGGTACGCAGTGGGTCCTGTGTTGGGTGGAGCGATCATTGACCGGTATGGGTTTGCGGCGATGACCGCCGGGCTAGGAGCGATGACGGCGCTATTAGGTGTCGTGATCGCAATCAGAGTGGTAATGAAAGGACGGCATCGGGTGTCTCTTTGATACTACGGATGGTGTGCTGAGGTGGTACTGGCTGAGAAACAGCCAACTCTATATGTTAGTACTGTTTGTTTCGGGCTCATATATCACATTTCTGAAAGATAAACTCAGCCTTTTTCCGGACAGTTTCGTGACTTGTATTGTCACTGCGTCGGCGGTTATACGAGCTTGCGTTGCACACTGAGTGTGCAACGCAAGCTCGTATAACCGCCGACGCAGTGACAATACAAGTCACGAAACTGTCCGGAAAAAGGCTGAGTTTATCTAACCATTATTGAATCTGCTAATCTGCTGAGAAATAATAAAAACATTTCTGAAATATATGCAAGTATGTTTATGGGGCGAGCCAAGTCTTTTTTATCCAGGGATCACACTCCACATCACACTCCAGACCGCGCTCCAGTCACGATAGTCCAGGGATGGCACACTATAAACCATATTCCAGCTGGACCACAACCCAGTGACCACACTCCGGGGACCACACTACACCTCACATTGCGCAGAGCTCAACCTCGCCGAAATACAGCTTCAGCTACGCAGCGCATCACTGACTATGTACTTACAATTTATTTTCTTACAATTTGTTTGCTTCAAAGGGATCGTCGATGCAGAAGGAAGGGTTCAAAACGTAGTTGTTCAAAAAAAAAAAAAAACTACGCCACATCAAGGTATACTTGAAGCTATCGAGCGCCGTCTCGCTGTTTCTTCTTTATCTTCAGGCGAATTTATATTTAGCATTGTCGTTCTGATTATCATATTTCACAACGCATTCGCAACATTCCACTGCAGGCAGCCGATCTGTATTCTATGAGTAGGACAATTCCACCATATTTTGCCTGTTTGTGTTAGGGTGTCTGCTTCCCTCCCTCCACCGCCTGTAGTTTTTTATCCGCGTGTTCGTGCCGGGCACCCATTTGACACAGCTGGTGGACGGCGACTCCTGGCTGCCTGTTACGGCGACTCCTGGCTGCCTGTTGCCGGGCCGGCCGGGCGGCTCGATAATGCTCGCGCGGCCATTTCGGGGGTGACGGAGGTGGCTCTGGCGCCCTGACCTGCGCTACATGGCCGCCCGCGGCCGGGCCGTGTTTGCTCTCAGCGCTAAATGGGCGTAGCGCCCGGTCAGTATTGGCCGACAGAGGAAATAAATGGTACCGCCTTGTCGGCGAATAGCGAGAAGAGGCACACATGTCGACCCGATTGTAGCGCGGAATGAGAGTCTGTTGTTGGCGGGAGAAGAAAATCAAGGGAGCCGGACTAACCATGTGGAAAAGAACCTTTTTTTCTGGAGTTTTAGAGTTAATTTGCTTTATGTTCATGTTTAATGAAATCTTTATTACAGATATTCTGGATTCGTTACAAAATACAAATGAGATTACGTTTGCCATTTTTGCTGATACCATGAACACTTTCAAAGATGGACGTTATTTTGCTGGACGTTTGAGGTTTGGCGTGCCTTTCTTTTTCTTCAAGTTTTTTTCCTTTTCTCCTGGAAAATTTGGCGACTACCGCCATGTTGGAGTGAGCATGCCGATATTAGCACATTGAAGTGGGGCATTTGGTTTCCAGTGTCTTTGGGAGAGAATGATAATTTGCATCGTACAATGCCAAGTAACCAACGCATATTGCCAGAGTGTCAATACTGGTAGGTATTTGCACCGAGTCCAATTGATGACGGTACGAACTACGATCATAAGAATGATACTCTTATCTGGGGAAGAAACCTATCATCCCCTGCAATTGACAGTCGGACTACGTTATTCTTTGACGCGCTGAACTACGAATGACAGTTGCGCAAACTGGGCAAGCTGCGCAAATTGGGCAAGCTGCGCAAATTGGGCAGTCCCATGCTTACAGCCCTATGTGCAATCCTCTGAGGAATTTCATCAAACAGGGATACCCCACCAATGCCAAGTCATTCGTTAGCACGATCCTGATGACAGGCCATCAAACTCTGCTACCGAGCCGGGCATATTCCGTGGACAGTGCGGTGAGCCCCGCTGCGTCATTATTCACTTCATTGGCCGGCTAGCCAAGGAGGACCAATTACCTACACGGGGGAATCGGCACCACAATGCTGACGTAGCCTGCGTGGGCGGCACAAAATCGGCGGACTGTTCTCTGATGACGACGTCAGCAGTGGATGACGCGATTCACCGCACATCGCTCCGAGAGACACGTAATGACGCCGACGGGCTGAAGGTGAAATGTCGAAACTTACGGGAGAGACGCTTTGTGTCTGTTAGCGAGATTGAACATGATAAAATAGTGACTGCCTGTTAAAGTGTGTGCCCGTGCTGGAATGGTGACGCATGGCTTACGAGGATTTACATATATCACTCCTCACCGATGATATATACGCCACAGAGGAGCGATGCAGTCTAAGGTAAGGCGATGGATGGATGCTGCGTAGGAACGCATTTCGATTTTAAACGTCTCCCTTGGGTACCTTTCCAATTCTGGTAGGAAACTCAATTCGCACGATGGTGATTATTTTTATTTGTGGCTTTACCCAGGCTGGGTTCAATAACACAATTTTTCCATTGATTTTCGACAAGCCGGTTGTTGAAGAATGACTGTCAAGGAGCGTGACATTCAAAGACTCACTGACGTTTGCATCAAATAGATACGTGTATGAGTTAAAACTGAGCACGTATAGTATTATACACTGTAAAAAAAAGTTTAGCATTTGGGGTACTAACGGCTGCTACTCGTAGCACCTTTTAGCGTCAAAAGAACCCTACGACGTATTTACAAAGAAGCATGGTGCTAATACTGTGCTAATGATAGCTAACATTCCCATCATAAGTTTAGATCACCTATTCTTCTACTGAGCTTAACGTCTACTTCTGCTAGTACCCAGTCCATCAGTGAGTGCTCTTTCAAGCTGGATTTCTAATTAGAACCATTTTAAGTGTTTTAGAAGTTGGTAATGCTGAATATGGTGCTTACGTTAGTATCACAATAGAACCGGACATGCTTACAGAGGAAACAAATTTGAAATTGGCGCCAAAGAAAGTAGCTCAAAGCCCTGCTTTACAAATCTCTGGGAGTCTTATCACCAGCCCTTTAGCACGTTTTGACGGCGCAGAGCGATATGCGCATGCGCGTGCCAGCTGTTTCCGGCCACGTGTTGCGCCATTTTAGTGGAGTCCGTTGGTCGTGGTGGGAGTGTGTGCACGTGCTCCGGTATATGAAGTGAAATGAAGTGAAGTGAAGTGCTCCGGGCACATGCCACCGAGTGATAGCTCTGGAATGATAGCTTAAATCAGCTATTATCGGTGGAATCCGTCGTGCGTGGCATGGGAGTGCGTGCCCCTGCTCCGGGAGGCAGTGAGGTGGAGGGAAGTGCAGTGCAGCAGTGCAGTGAAGTGAAGTGAAGTGCTCCGGGGCCGGGTGGTACATGAGCATTTGCCACCGACACATGCCACCGACACCGACGTTGATCGACTTTGGTGAGTCTGACGCGTTGTATCTTTTGACATTATCTTAAGTGCTTCATATTCCGACTTTGGCAAATCGCGCTTCTTGGTCTGAAGGAAAGTTGTGTTGTTTGCGAAAATAGCTCCCAACAGAAAAAAAAATTGGAACTGATCCAGTTTTTTTTTTGCTCCAGGCATGGGGCCTGGTCAGTTCTTCCGTCGACTACCACTTACAATGGAGGACAACTACGACAACAACACGGGGTCTCCGGTTCCGTCTATCACTAAACGCCGTCTGGTCGTGGATGAGGTCGAACTTATGGCCATGAACGGAACGTCGGTTCAACGACCCCCCCCCCGCCTCCCCCAGTCGATCTCGCGTTAATCGTCGGTCACTGCGAGTGTGCAGGTATATGAGCGACCTTTCGTTATTTCCCGTGCGTTTGTTTGTGTATATATTTACATTTGTTTTTCATGCAGATGATATGAGGTGTTAATAAATGTTCCATTATTATTTTTTAATTTTATAATGTGTTGGATGCTTGAAAGATGCACTTACACGGGAATATTGCAGAATGCAAAACACAATTATTGAGACTGTAGTTATCACTGATCTAGGATATAACCGTTTTTTGCACGCCTTTTCGGCTTTACACAATTTCCTTTTTGGTAATTGATGAGTCCTTTTTGCAGTAACTAGTGAAAGTATATGCTGCTAAAGAAAGCAGTTTTTGCGAACTTTTCATGCAGCAGCTTTAACTAGTAACGATATTCTACTTTCAGCCCCATTGCTTTCGTTAGCATTATTCTACTTGTCGTGGGGTAACAATAGCGCTAAAACGGGTCATATGTGAGTACGGAAGGTACTAACTGCATGCTATTCTTAGCACCTTTTAAAGTTTAGCACCGCTAGGGTACTGAAAATTGGTCTAGCAGGTGTAGGGTACTACAATTAGTACACGGGTGCTAAACAAATATGGGTACTTATATTAGCACCTCGATACTAAACTAGATCTCAGTTAAGTGCGAATAAAATGCTTAGCTTAGCACCGCTAGGGTACTGAAAATTAGTCAATTGAAAAGTACCTCTATGGTGCTAAACTTTTTTTACAGTGTAGGTAACTTAACGCGACGTCCTTCATGGAATCATTCTGGCTCTGCGGTATTCATTGAGGGTTTTCCGTTAGGACTAATGTGATCAGAGCTTGCTCCTGGAATTGGACACTGGACAGATGTTACTAAGCCTAATGGGTCGGTAGTCGGCGTTGGTCGGTGAACTTAAATTAGCTGTCCTAGCACCGCGGTGTCGTTACGTTCGAGCTGTTCTCCTCGGAGACTCGGGCTGAAAGAGCTGACGGCGGCGTTCGCATTTTTTTTTTATAACATCTTCGAAGAAAAATCGAAGGCAATATACATTCCACCTTTGGCTGTATGTTGATCTCTTTGTTTGGGCGGTTGCATGCAGTCATTTTTCGATTTGCCAATATTTAGGTATTTCCATCTACTGTTCTAATTAACATTTCAAAAGACCGTAGACGGCTTATCAGCAATGGCACATCCGTTTCTATACATGGACACAATCCCACGCCATCCCAAACTCCATATCTCTTCAACAGTAACCTGCCAACTGCACCGTTTTCACTCGGCCGAACGGACGGCGCCTGAGGCCGCGGCTCTCCGTAACGAGTCCCGCCTCGTCCAGAGGCACGCCCCAGGGACTCTGGAGATCCTTCACCGACATAGAGTGTTCCGGTGAGACCATATCGTCCGCTGGAACGGCCACACACGGCCGCCGGCAGCTCCGCGCGTCGAACGGACTGTGCCACTTGGAAGATGGACGCAGTGCAGCCTGAGATGACCTAGGAGACGGCGGTGTTGCGCCCCGTGACCCTGGCTCTGAGCGGGGTGCGGACAGTATCGCGGTGCATGTGTACCCGAAGGTCATGAAGTGACCCAGAGGCGGAGTCAGGGTGGGGGTGAGGTCAGAGGGTAGTCCGGGTCCACACCTGCGGGGCCGTATGTTTACACGCCCTACCAGAGGTCCGGGACGCTCCCATTGCAGCGGTGGTGTGAGGCTGGAAGACCCGAGATGAGAAGGGTGTTATACGGCCTGGTTTGAGGTGCGCCTTGGTCAAGGAATGACTGGCATCTTGCAGATAATACGATGTGATCCGGGATCCGCATATATCGTTTGTAGTTACTACGCTTTAGATACATCATCAAGCTTGTTGGCTGTTGCATAGTTTGTTCACTTCCTTTGCTTATTTTGTATTCAAATAATAAAACTGGTCGGCTTTTTAGGCGACGTAGGTATGCTGTGCAGCACCAGACGAGTCTTCGCGCTTGGGTACATCTTTTTATTAGTAGCTTCGACTCCATTGGGTCTGAGCCCTGAGGCTTAAAGTATGAAGCAGTTACAACTTTTTCCAACCTGTGTGTTGGCCACCAAAAAATGCTAGACTTACAGCTTTTCAGGTAGGTAGCCCTTCTTTTTTCATATTCTCAAGGAAGATGAAGTTCCGGCTTTTTGATAACTGCGATTCTTCTATCTGACATTGATACAGTTTATCGTTAGATTTTACTTCACAGTAGGTACACATAATCACGTT